GGAAAAAAATGACGCGGTGGTGTTGCCTGTGATAATGTGATGCAGAAAGGAATTATAACATCACTGGACAACGAAAATCTTCAGCGCAGTTGCAATTCAAGCCTTTTGGTTGCAACTTCTTATTCAAGTGGGAATTTTTCCTTCGCTTTGAAAGAAAATCAAAGTAAAATGATTGGCCCTGATACTACGAATGTTCGTCTACACGTTCGTATGCTTTCCGTGCTTCCAGATAATTATGAGCGCGATAAAAATGAAGGCACGTGACGGGTGCGAAACATAATGATATTTTGGATTTTACAGCGTTGCGAAAGGATGTTTTAAAACAGTGGCCGTGAATAGCACTAGTCAAAGATTTAAGGCTTCGAATAATTACTAGCACTACTATGAAAACTTGTTCAACAAATAAGGCCGAATATTCATTTGTTGCCGTCTAATTCAAATTAACTCAAAATTTCAACCTGCGATATACTCTTTGACACAAAGCAACTAAGATACTCATTTACAATGTACGATACTGCTTCTTATCATCTTCTTTCATTTACTAAGCTGCCAACCAAGTTCCGTCGTATTTTTTCTGTTATTCTTCTCTATTTACGACAAATTAATCTCTTGGTCTTGTTTATCGCATTTGATGCCATTCGAAAGTTCGTGATCTCAAAATTCTAAAATGCGAACCCTTCAAGATTCTGATAATTGTAAAAATATCTTCTACTCAAATTGTTACAGATGCTTCACTTTGGCGAAGCGTTTATCTGCCGAAAAACGCCGCCGTGACCTGAAGAGACGGTAACACATGGAGCAGCGTCTGGACTGTACAGTGAATAAGTTAAACATCCTTATCCTAATTCTTCAATCTTTTGTAATGCCAGACGCGCAATATGTAAAGGAGCTTGTCTTGATGCCCATTCGAAAAAAGCTATCGCTGCCGATTTTGATGTGTTAGTCTCGCCTTCATCAATTTTTTGAGTCATACTTGTAATTGTATAATTCGTAGATCAACCGCTTGTGGTTAGGTGTTCTACAAAGTTTGTGGCGCTTCGGTGGCAGTACGACCCAAGTGAAACGTCCAAGAGACGTTTAGGACTCAACTCTTGAAGTGTCCATTCAAAATCACAAGCCTTTGGTTGACATATAACACGATGAAACGAACAAAAATAAAGCCATTGTGAATAAATCAATGTATCAGAAAAATATGAAACTTAGTTGCCAATCATGAACTTATCAGAATTAGTATTATGAATGACTTTTCATGTATTACCTAATATGTGGAAAATCTGCATTAGATACCTAGTCAGCGTGAATTCGAGTATATTCAAAATCTCCCTTGTTTTTGGTCAAAATGTCAAGCATTTCAATTCGAGATAACAGCATGGATTGTATTTTCAACACAGACACAACTTTAATTTTTTTTATTTCGCATAGCTAACTTCTTTCTAGTCAGAGATATGCCACTTGAACACAGCTGACCAATAGTTTTCGGCAAATTGATCCAGCTCATAGATTGTTTTTGACCGTCGCTGAAACATTTTATATAATCTGTTAGAATACTTGAAACCTTACCGAAATTATTACGTCAGAGGAAAGCGAGGCCAGCTTCGGAGAGATAAGCTAAGCGCAAAATAAAATCGTGCAAAAGTGTTTCGCTTAACGTTTCAAAACATTTGGAAATACGTAGGACCTCACTGGATCAAGAACGGCAAAGAAGTTCAGGAGCAGTCGTTGTTGAGACGGCCACACCCTTCGCATAATATATACTCCGCTACGATGGAGCGCCGTATATTGCGCGAGTTCGTATTTGTTACTTAACATTTGGAAAATTAGAGGTTGGTGAGGTGGGAATATTCGCGAAGCGTGAGGCCGCAGCTTTCCGTGTCGCCGTGTCGTGACGGCTCCACTTGTAGACGACACACCGTAGTAGACGCTACATAAGCCAAAATACGCAAGATTATCGCATTTAGTATAAGGTGGAAGAGATCCCATTGAGGTCAAGGTCCTCAAGCTCGATTTTCGACTGCGTGCGGGGCCCCGGGGGTTGCTGAGCTCGTGAACTTTGACTTTTAAGACCACAAATGAGTCGGCAAACAACTGCCTCAACGTCGTCAACAGCGATATTGTCACGCGGCTCTCAGAGCATTCAACGCGTCCCCGGTTTCAGCTTTTGTAACTGCCTTCGCAGCCTGGTACCCCGGATTGTGGCACGGCCCTGTAATGTTTGACCTTTAAACCTTTTACCTTTTGAGTCTTGAAACATTATTTGAATTTTAAGAATGTATTGATATCGATGCACACACACACTTCATCGAGGTGGATAGTTACCGGTGTCGTAATGGAAATACGTGGATGATGTTTTTGATTTTCTCCATCTGAAGCTGCAACTCTTTAGTTCAAGGGGTGAGAGTCTGCCCTTGAGCTTGTTGTCGAAGTACCATGTGAATTCTACCCTAGAGAATTGAGTGGTGAGCAAAAATACCAGAATGAGTGGTGCGTGCGAATGTACCTCGGTGGTGTAGTGGTACCAAGTGTCCCCGGCATGGATGAAACGCGGCTTCAACTCCCGTCCGAGGTCTGAATTTTTGCTTATCACTCAGTTCTTTTAGGTATTTTAGGAACATCATAACACTGCGAAATATTCAGTAAAAACTACAAATTTGGAGTATGCAAATTCTCTTTTCCTTGCCTCTGCAGCTTTGGCTATAACTGCCCTACTCCTATACTCAAGATCTTTTCTTATTGCTATTCTGCACAATTTGCGTGTTCAAATGTAAGCAAGTGGATGTAGGTGACTCGTGCGCTTTCACTTAGGCGTGTTTAGCTCTGTGTTTCTGGGAACAAAAATTTCTTAGTTACTACAAGCTCTTAGCTCACTTAGCTTTGATGTGAAGCAGTTTTAAAGCCGATTATATTAGTCGTCGGTTTTGTAAGTAGCGGTATCGTCCTAGGAATTCGATTTGTGATTTGAGTGTATGCTAGTCAATGGGAATGAGTTTTAGAAACTGGCCTTCAAAACTTGGCGGCTTCCTTTGCGTCAAAAGTGGAGTCTCGCACGAAGTTTAGAACAGAGACCCTTAAACAATATGCGCATCTCCCCAAATGAATATCGAGGACTGACAAGTCTTTACCAATCCATTATTGCTTTGAACACAGTCGATTCTCGTTCAAAGTTCACTATTCGTTGCATAATACATTGCTATTGAAAAAGAGGTGGCTTTTGGTACTCAGAAATAGCTTAGCAAAATTCCTCAATTTTTCGGTCAAATTGTCTGATTGTTGATGTACCATCGAAAGCTACTCGGCTTTGCAACTCTATCTATCATTCAAGTGAGAATTGACTGAAATTGCCAGCGTACTTCTTAGGCTTTCTTAACCCTTAAAGGACGGCTATAGAAAACGATGCGCTCACAGCAAAATACGCAGTATTCGCTATTTGATCAAGGTTTTTTCTCCATTTTACGAAAATTTTTAGAATTCCCGTATTACTTTGATAGAAAGAGATTTTTCTATTTTCGCTTATATGATTTTGGTCTGGATATATTCGTCTTGCATAGACGAAAACGTTGGTATATTACGAAATTATGCTGAATTTGACAATTAATCAGCTGTATTGGATTGTATAGAAGATATCACAATGAAAAAGCTGCAGCTTTGCTCTACCATAGTTTTATACAAAACTCAAGGGTCATCACAGTGAATAAAAATTGAAAACAATGAGTAATTTACAACAAAAATGATAATGCGCGTTGTTTTCGATACTGTTTCATCGCTCTCACCATAACTGAGTTTATATCAATCATTCGTTTTTTTCCAAATATACAGGGTTGACGTAAGCGTGAAAAGGCTGAGTACTTATAGATAGTGAGAGAATTCTGAGCGGTAAAAGACAACCGTCTTTAGATAAAAGGCTCAGAACATTGGCATTATGCAAACTATTTTCCAGAATTATGTGTCTCCAGAGTATTCTCTATTTCCTTTCAAGTATTCTCTATATGGGGCTTCTTTCCCATCCGCATCCATATTCAAATGAGACATTTTTTATTCCTTTTCAAGGCTTTAGTAATTATTCAACACTTTGAATATCGAGAATCAGAAGGGCGTGTTTCAGTTTTCAAATGGTTGTTACATTATGCTGTAAAGGTGAAGTAAAATTTTTAGTACTTATGTGTTATACGGCGACAACTCTTTGAGTCGATCTCATTCTCTGGTCAGGATTTTTTCTTAGGAGTGTTAGCAATCATTAGAATGCTCAAATTTCTAGCTACAACTATGCTTTGCCGGTTTTTTAGATCACCTTTTTATATCGCTGTTGCATACAGAATAAAATTTCGTTCCTCATTCGCCTTTTTCCTTCACTTTTACCTAGGCATGCAAGTCGCTGGAAGCACGAAAAGAATATCAGCGTGTGGAAAATTTTCCGTAGCGTCAGAATCTACGTTTTTTTCTGGAGGTGCTGTCGATGTGGTGGAACCTTCAAAATTGAATAATAATATTTCGAACGCGATCGGTCGTCCCGCCCCGGCCCCTTTCCTCCGCTTCGCGAGTTAGCCGGTAGGCAAAGTCGCCGAAAAGGTTCGTAGTTGAGTAAAATGTAAAGGCAAGTCACAGTGACGACTTGTCAGTAGGATAATCGTCCGATCTATCGCGTAACTCAGCAGTGATCTACCGCATTAAGCGTTGAAACGGCGGGAACTAATGTTATCTTCTTAAGGGTTTATTACCTCATGAACAGGCACTTCAAATAAAATCACGTGATTTTGACACCACGAGAATTTCTATTCACGCTGACATGCTTTTCGTGCTTCTAGCAAATTATACTCGTGGTAAAAAAGAAAGCAAAGGCGAGTGAAGAAATAATTTTTTTCCTGTATGCTACAAAGTTAAAGAAGGGCGTTTTAAAAAATCGGCGACGTAATGTTGTAGGCAGCGATTTAGACTTTTGAATAACTACAAATACTTCCATGAAAATTGCCTGTTCAGCGAATGAGAGTGGCTTAAATATTTGTCGCCGTTCAACATACAAGCACCAATTTTTCTTTCACACTCAAGCATCCATCGCTGGACAAAGGTTTCCACTCAGATTTTCACTAACCATTTTATAGCACAAATCTCAGCGATCTCAGTGAAAGTGTTGCGACAGCTAAAAGATCATTGAGTTTCGAACTTGGCGCCGTATCGGTTGCGCAGCGCAATTTACATGTGGCGTTTGGGTTCGCGCCTAGCGTAAAGCTCAATGTTCTTTAGCTGTAACGACGAACTAGAAAGCCTCCTTCAAAACTAAGTATATCCTTCAATTTTAAGTTAAATTTGCCAAGATTTGAGTTGTCGAAGAACTGCTGAAATTTTGAGGAAATCGGAAGATGCTCAAGTGTTAATGTCACATTCTTTTCCATGTTACAATGTAATACAGAGACCCTTAAAAAACGAGGCATATATTTTAGTTTTCCGAGACATAAGCTAACGAATGACTACTAAAAGGTCTAGAAAAAGCGAAAATTACTTTTTTTTTTGAATATGGGTGATAGGGGAAGTAACGCATCATGCGCAATGATGAACACGCGCTCTTCTCACACTCACTCGAGTCACATATCAGAAATATCTTCACATAAACCTCAATTAGAGATGCTTAGTTGTAGAAGATGTGCTTTCAAGCTACATTCTTACAAGACAGGCGATACAAATGCTCAATAGGTGTTAAAATCTTATTCTTGTGCAAGGTACCGTTGAAAAACGAGGATTTCAAGAGGAGTAGTCACTCTTTGCATCAAAAAATCTTCGTAGAAAGTTCATTCGTGACAACCAATTCTTTATACAACGATGAGCCACCTCTGAGTTATAAACTTTCCCTAGAATTGCCAATAAACCACCTATGACGTCCGAGCGGCGGTGTAGCATTGTAGACGTGGAATGTGATTTTCTTTTCGCTCTTGCGGCGTCAAATGGCAACCTTTTAAAAAACCAACTTAATAGTCTTCAGCCCATATATGAGCTTTTTAGAAAACACCGTAGAGAGAGTCCTTTCAACTCTCCTACCACGCTCAACGACCTTTTCGCAGTTCCCCTTTATCCTAACATTTCTCTAAATAAATTTGCTTACATCGACTGTGTTCTACATCTAAGCAGAAGCCATCACAGTCAAATACAAAGAGTAAGACAACGTGGAGTTAGGACAGTGTTATCTCGACCGAGCTCATATTCAGAGACCGAAACCTTTTTTGGTACACAAGTAGAGACCTTCAGGCGCACTAAAACATGGAAATGCCAACAGGTGAGTATTTGAACAAAACTCAGAGCGTAAGTATTGAAGAACATGATGAACAAGAACTGTAAATTTGGATTGGCGGCACGCTGATGCCTTGCTCGTTTCTACTTATTACGTCTTTCTGGATCACTATAGAAGTTGCTTACAATTTCCTCAAATGTGTAAGAAAACAAAACTTTGCTGTGAACAACAACGCGCTAATTTTTTTCCAAT